CTGGCTGTTTCTCCATCTACGCACCAGCAGGTGCCCAGTTCTGCCAAGTGTGTTGAAAATTGCGCAGATGAGATGTAGACATAAGATGGTCTAACTGGGGCGGCTGTGAGTCTCCTGGAGTCAGCCAGGGCAACTTACTGGGGAATAACAGTAAAACAAAGGTGTGAGGGGGCCATGTGAGGCCAGGGATACAGGCCAGGGAGGACCATACTGCTGAACTGGTCAGAAGGGATCCATCAATTTGTTAAAATTGGATTTGTCCAGTTTAGAGAGGCAGGTGGTGTTACTCTCGTCTGTCACACATCACTCAGGATGAGTTCTGTAAACATTTCCTGAAGCAACAAAGTGATCAAAGACCCCTGCCTCTCCGTGACTCCAACTTACTACCCGTCCCCCAGTTTTCACTTTGATGTCTCAGCACAGAGGGACCGAGCAGCTCGGGTGGCTTCCGAGGCGGCGGTAGAGGCAGCCCAGTTAGGGGTAGGGACGCGGCCAAGGTCAGCCCCGGCACGGGGACTCCGCAGCTGTTTCCTGGGCCCCGTGCTGTCCAGTGACCCTACTTATTGTCTCCAAGGAGGAGGAATGTGAAAGATTATCCGGAGTGTGGTTTTCCGTAAGCCAACAGGGAGCTTAGGTGAAGCTGCTCACAGGTCTTCACATGTAGTCTAGAGCTGGAAATTCTGACCTCAACACGGAACCCAGTATTTAAGTACCTGGGGCTTGCCTGGAGATGGGAGGACCCTGCAAAGGAAACTGTGCATTTCATCACGTCCACGTGTGAACTGCCCACCCCTGCCGGGCTGCTCTGACTGCCATATCCCTGGACCCCCGGCCCACTAGAGCGGAGGCCTCTGCTCTCCACCTGCCTTCAGCTCCTGGCTGGCCACCCGTCACTCTCCAGCGGAGAATACACCCTCTTCCTGACTCTTAACAATTAGGTAGAATTCTTTGCTCTGAGAATCCTCGCTTTCGGGTCCTAATGACAGTGTGGGGACAGAGAGGGAGAGGCCAGTGCCACCATGAGTCCCTTCTGCAGGAGCCTTGAGTCGGCTTGGAGGGTGACATTCCCACAGGGTGGTCTCCTCACTCCCCGGCAAGGCACAGGGCTCCCCACTGCTCTGAGCCGAGGACTGCCTTCAGCCTGGACCCCAGGTTCTCCTGTCAGTCCTACTTAACTGACTCAGGACACAGCTCACAAGTGCAGAAGTTCTTTATTTCTGGGGAAGAAAGGGACTCTGATTTTCTCTTTCCTTGGAGGCAAAGTTGGTGCAGAAAAGGAGTCCTTTAGTCCCATCCCCTAGCCCTCCTCTGGGGGCCCCAGATGTTTCCCATCAGTGGAGACTGGAGGGTGGCTGGTGTGGAGAACCTTCCGCCGCCCTGTCTGTTCCCAAGGCAGCAAGAGGGCAGTGCTGGCCTGGGGGGGACAGAGATGGTGGCGGGGCATCAGGGGGTGTTCAGTGCAGCTCCCCAGGAGTTTTCAGATGGAACATCCACCCTCTCTGCTGAGCTAACGGGCTCTATTTGCCTTACAGGGACCAGCATATCAGCTGTGTGTAAATCCTAGAGAGACACTTGCCCACCCGGAAATTGTAGGACTAGTGCATTTTTCTCAAAGCAGAGACTAATATCCCTGGATTTAAAAAAAAAAAGCACAAACAAAAAATAAAGTACCACACATATTGTACTTTTTGCTGAATGAAATTTTTACCTCTTGTTCATCTCACTGAAGTCTCTTCAGAGGAGCCTGGTTTACAAGACAATAAAGCTAATGGTTATTATACAGTAGTGTTCACGCTGCTAATGTGAAACAGACTGGAAAGAAAGTCATGACCTCCAAGTACCTCTTAGAAAAAGAAGAGTACTAAGCGTTCTTAGTGTTACTTTAGTATTAGTGAAGAGAGGAGACACGCACAGATCACCAGTGAGGGGACAGAGCAACGGGGCTGATCAGGCAGGGCTGGCAAAATGCCTCACTGACCGACAGAACCAGTCCCCTCTCACCAGCCTAGCTTTCAGCAAATACAGATCGTTACGGAATTTATTGATTTCTGCTTGAAATAAATGAGAAAAGCAAACAGGTACTTACAACACAGTCCAGCAGGACGGGCCATGCTCTCCCCGGGGGCTTCCGCCCTGCTGTCGGTCAGTTCCCGACAGGCCTGGCCACCGCCGCGCGCTCCCCGGTGTCTACCTCTGGGGCCTTCAGCCTCCCAACAGCCTCTCCGCTGCCTCTCGTCTGTCAGCCCAGCTGACCTGCCGCAGCTCCCAGGTGTCCTGGGCTAAGCGGCTCATGGCCTTGTCTCATGGGGCAGGTGTGTCTGCCCATCTGTAAGTGCCACTCTTGCGACTCTGAAATGAGCCGCCCCCGTTTTCGATCTGGAAGGCATTTTAATTTCATAAATATTACAGCGCTTCTGTAGACTATTTTGGGAAAACATCCTTCAGTTTAAACAAATCAAGCCCTGCTTTATAGCTCTAAGGTTAGAGGTCTTAATGAGAGGATCTCTTAAATGAAATGATGTCTATTTCACGGAATCATCAATCTTAAGCACGAGGAGGATTAAACAATCCGTAGAAGGAACCCACTTCCTTCCTGGATTTTTCACTGCATGTTGTCAAGTCACAAAACACTCATCCTCCGCACCACTGTCGCTCACACCCAGAGCCCGACCCCAAGCGCAGTGCCTCTGCGGAGCGTCCTGGCGCCAAGAGGGGCCAGAACAGAGCTCCTCAGACCTTCCACGCTTCTCCTCATCTGCCTGGACACGTACTACAAAGAGGAAAGGCAACTTAAAGGTGTTCTAGATGCAGCATCAGTGTAGTCTCTCTCTTCTTTGTGCTTTAAGGAAGATGCTTTGTGCTTAATGCGTTCATCTGATAGGACACACCATTCTAAAGGACAGAAACGGTCCTCTTTGTAAATAATACTGAATTTGTAACACTTGGATGTTACTGTCCGAATGACAGAATACTCATTGCCTCTAGGCCGACAGTTCACTAGCTGTAGCATCTATTTTTCACTTACTCTGACGACTGAGCTGTAAGGGTCTCAGTTTTACTGGTCATATCACGTGCTTGGCAGATGACCTGCTTTAAATGGTTAACACATCTGTGGTCTTTTGAATATTGCTGTTAATACTTGAACATTTCATTACAAGTCAAAACCTAAGGAAATTAAGGATGTGATTCCCACATGGTGGAAAACAAACTCTGAAGTGACTTTGGATTTAGCATTGACATAAGTGGGAAACTTGGTTTCTACAGAAAAGAAATAATTAAAGCATGATCTGGGGGGAAAAGGCACAGCACTAACCACTTCACATGGATGATAGAAGTTCGTTTCTCTTGTCCTTAAAATTCCTAAGCCCTATATGAAACTGTTCAAATATACAAAGCTCGATAAACGACTAGCCACATCTAGTGTAAAGTCCAAGTAGTTATTACATTTTAAAAGAGACGCCAGGTCCTCTAAAGACCAACTGCCCCAAACTAGAAGTCTCCACAGAAGATTGCAGGAAAAGCCCGTCTTCGCTGGTCCAGGGCTGCGCTCCTGATGGTTTCTCGAGTCTCCTGCCCTTGGTCTCCACTGCAGTCCGTCCCTTGGTTCCACAGGTGACATCTCTGGGGCCCTGAGGACACACTGTAACCCAGGGCACCTGCTGAAGAGGTGTGTCACCTGTTCTCAGATGGAGGCGACCGCCAGTCTCAGGGGTCAGTACCAGCTGTTCCTTAGTGGCCCCTGAAACAAGGCTCACGCTCTACCCCTTTGCAATGGTCTTGGGGACAACTTGTATCAGCAGCTTAGAACTTATGACTCAGTGGCAAAGTACAACTTTCCTTTATTTCCTGTGCATCAACTTTAATACGTATTCTTGATTTGCCTTTAAGCAACATGCTGTTCTTGGCTTCAGTGAAAAATATTATATTGCCTTTTTTTTTTTGCCTATATGTAATGGCACACTTTCTTTTTCTTGCTTTCACCAAGATTTCCCTCGATAATAAATTGGTGGAGTTTTGCATAAAACCTAGGGCTGGATGTCTTCTTACAGAAACATTTGCTGGTGCCTCTGACGAGCGCCTGCTCCACCTGACCTAAGGGCACGAGCTTCAGCCTTCAACTGTTCCAGCACGGGCCACGGAAACCGTGGTGGGACAGAGCCGGGGGGAGCCTCATCCCCCCGGCCGGGCCCTCCAATTCCGGCTGGGCGACTTGATTTTTACCCCACTGGGGAGAGGGCAGGAAAATAAGCGTTACATTGAAAAGGCTGGAATAAAAACAGAAATACACACGCGGTCTTCACTTTACCCGCTTCACTTCCTGCGCCGAGATTAATTTACCAGGACGTAGCCGCTGTGCTGTGGGTCCACGGCCTCCAGCATTTCACAATCGAAGAGTCCGGGGAACTCCGGGAGGGCTAGAGGGCCGCAGCTGGAGGGCGCTTCCTGCAGTCCTGAGCTCTGGGGGCAGTCCGGCGCTGCGAGGCCGCTCTGCGGGTCTCCATCCATGGGGTACGAGCAGGGCGTGGGGTAGTCCGACGCCGGGGAGGCGGCGCCCGGCAGCTCGCAAGTCTGATAGGAGAACCGCAGGGGCGCGGG